ATAGGCTAACTGGAATTTCTTAGTCCCGTATTTATTTTGTATATAGTCAATCCATTTTTTCCAGTCTCGTTTATATCTCTCATTTGAATGATCATAACTTACTTTTTTCAATGCTGTAACTTTTGAGTCTCTCAACGAATGGTTTTAAGACTACCAGGTAATGGAAGACTACCTGGTGTTGAAAAGTACCTCAAAAGGCCATTCTGTCTGGTGCAGGAACTTTCAGATCCAACCTCTGAAGACCTCCAGAAACAGGAAATACCGTATTTTTTGGAGTATTAGACACACCTTTTTCCCTCAAAAAAGAGGCTGAAAATCTGGGTGCATCTTATACACTGAATACAGCATTTTTTGACTACCGAAACCCCACCCCTTCACCAAAATGGCCGTCCATAGCCTCTAGGAAGCTTTTAGAGAGCTCCTGGGGGCTGGGGAGGGCAGAAATGAGCAAAAAAGGACCATTTTTTGCTCAGTTTTACGCACACAGCCCCCAGGAGCACTCTACAAGCTTCCTAAAGGCTATCCATGCCCTTTTGTAATGAAAAACAGCCCCGTTTTTGCAAAACACGGGCCTTTTTTCCTCATTTTTGCCCCCCCCCGCACAAGAGCACTCTGCAAGCCCCCTAAAGGCTATTCATGCCTTTTTTTGGAAATAACTGGAAAATGGGTCGCTTTTGAGAGGACTGCAGAGTGCAAAAACTTTTTAAAAAAATTTGACTCTTCAAAACCTTGGTGCATCTTATATTCCGGTGCGTCTTATACTCCGAAAAATAGGGTATATCTTTTTATGAGGCAACGTGTTCCAGTTAGACTTAGACTAACTTTATTGCCACAGTGAATGGACACTAATCAGCATATATTAAAATGAAATTTCATTGCATACAGCTCTCAAAGGGTCACCACTTCCAATATACACTACATAAACACGACAGAATAAACAAATACAAATAAATACTTCTAAACGTGTTGACAGCTCTCAGTACAACCTTATTGTATATGATCGCTACAACTTAAAGCCTTGCTGTCTTTCTCAATCTGTAGCTTCCCCTCTCTTAACCATATAGGAAGTGGCTTGTTCTTGGAACTCAATTTCCTTTCTGCAATTTTGCTCTAAGAGCCTATTCCATTGCTGGAATGGGTAGATTTTATATTCCTTGTCTATTTATCCCAAGCTGTTTATCAAATATCTCCTTCAAATGTTTTAAGCCTTTAATCCACTCAGAGAGCTTTGATTCTCCAGGATGCAAAGCAGATTCTCTGCGAAGAAGAGATTCCTCATCTCTGCAGGGATCCAACTCCACCTTTGGCTCAAGGCATGATGTTTCCCAGGCATGATGCTGAGGATAGATAGAATAGTATAGAATAGAATAGAATTATTTATTGACCAAATGGGATTGGACACACAAGAAATTTGTCTTTGGTGTACATGCTCTCAGTGTAACATAAAAAGACAAGATACATTCGTCAAGAATCATAAGGTACAACACTTAATGATAGTCATAAGATACAAATAAGCAATCAGGAAACAATATCAATATAAATAGTAAGGACACAAGCCACGAAGTTACAGTCCTGCAGTCATAAGTGGGAGGAGATGGGTGATAGGAACGATGAGAAGACTATTGTAATAGTAATGCAGCCTTAGTAAATGGTTTCGTGACCTGTCAAAACCGCGGTCCACAAAAGCGCGATTGACGAAAGCGCGCATTTGATGTCATCACAGCGCAACGAAAAAAATTAAAAATTGAAATAAAAATAAAATTAAAGCAAGCCGATTCACATAAAGGTAAGGGTTAGGGTAGGGTTAGGTTAAGGGTTAGGGTTCGGGCGTTAGGGTTATGTTTAGCGTTACGTTAAAGGTTAGCGTTAGGTTTAGCGTTAG